CTATATATAGCCAAAATAAAGAGGTTTTTATTTATACTGATGCAAGTGGAGAAGGTATAGGAGCAGTATTAAAACAACCTCAGGAAAATGGTATTCTCCATCCGGTTGCCTATTTCTCAAAAAAATTAAACACCAGTCAAAAAAAGAAAAAAATTATTTATTTAGAATGTCTAGCGATAAAAGAAGCGATTGTATACTGGCAACATTGGTTAATTGGAAGAGTTTTTACTGTAATTGCAGACCATAAACCATTAGAAACGTTAAAGGTAAAAGCAAGGACAGATGAACCACTTGGAGAGCTTATATATTACCTTTCACAATATAGTTTTAGGATTATACATGCACCTGGTAAGGAGAATATTGAAGCTGATTCCTTATCAAGAAATCCANAAAGCTAATTCCTTATCAAGAAATCCAGTTTTAGAAAACTTTGAAAATGAAGATATATTAAAAGTTGTAAATATGGTTACATTAGAAGAAATAATTAGTGACCAACAAAAAAATGCAATTGAGATTAAGGATTCCAAAAGAGTATTTGAAAAAGGAAATATTAATTTTAAATACCTCAAAAATAGACAAATAATTTACATTTCTTTATTTTAGGAATTTGGTTTATTATTAATTAAGAAAATACATGAATATTATGGTCACATTGGTACTTGTAATTTAAGTGAAAAATTGAGGCCTTATTATTATTTCAAAAATATGGATAAAATTATTGACCAATTTTGTAGTGCATGTGAAATATGTAAAAAAAATAAATCAAGAAGTAGCAAAAAAATTGGTTTGTTTTCAAAATTAGGACCAGCGACAAAACCTTATGAAATTATGTCCATTGACACAGTGGGAGGTTTTGGAGGTAATAGGTCATCAAAAAAGTATTTACATATTTTAGTAGATCATTTCTCGAGATATGCATTTATTTTAACTTCAAAAGGGCAAAGTGCTAAAGATTTTATCAAATTAGTCGATTTGGTGGCAAGACAGCACCAAATAAAAATGGTTTTGGCGGATCAATATACAGGGATTAAATCCAAAGAAGTCAAAGNTGGCGGATCAATATACAGGGATTAAATCCAATGAAGTCAAAGATTATATGAAATCAAAGAATATAATATTAATATTTACATCACTTGATTACCCAGAATCATATGGATTAAATGAAAGACTAAACCAAACATTGGTAAACAGAATAAGATGTAAAATTAATAGTGGAGAAAACAGAGCATAGTCTAAGATAGCGGAGGAATGTGTAGAGGAATACAACAATACAACACATAGTGTAACAAAATTTTCACCGTCTTATCTATTATTTGGTGTAAAGTCTTATATAGTACCAAATGAACTTCAAGAAAAAACTTTTAATTTAGAAAAAGATAGAGAACAAGCTATAATAAATTCTAATAAAAATTATGAAAAAAATAAAAAAAGAGTAGACAAAACAAGAAAAGAATATACATTTAAAGAAAATGAGTTAATATACATAGAAAATGACAACAAAATGAATAGGAATAAGTTGGATGAAGTTAGAAGAGGCCCTTTCCGAATATTAAAACAAATATCAAATTCAATATATGAGATAGAAGAAAAAAGAAAAAAATTGTTTCCATAGTAATAAATTAATTCCAGCACAAAATTTGAGTACATAAACTGGAGTTTATGTCTGGAGGAGGGGAGGTATAACAGTGGCGGCACTGTTTATAGGGACACTGTTATCACTGTTTTAATTTGTATTATCATATAGATTTAATGTGTAAAATCTATGGTAACATTTTTAATAATTAATAATTATTTTTAACACGCTTATATTAGTTTCACGTGTATGTTTGTTGTTTGTTTGTCGTTTGTAAGTTTGTAACTCCACGCGGCACGTGTTATTATGTCGCGTATGCCGTCGTCTATGACCTTGAGACTAGACCGTCGTAACGCATTCACCCCACCCCGCTCACCAGTCGGCGACAATACTATTTTTCTGTATAATTTTATTTTTGGTTTTCGTACCCGTATACACGTGCGTGTCATGAATTATATATATATATATAACAAATTTTTATTGTGACTGACACAGCTCCGCGTCGCTTCATTATAAACGATGCCCCCCAACTCATGCCACCTTTATCAGCCGTCGCCCTATTATGAGTATTTGACTGACCAACATCTCGCGTTATACGCCGTGGTGCAAAGTCCAGCAAGTGCCGCACGGCCGACGACGTCCCACCGCTAATGATACCGTAGTCTTCTTCTCATTGTCAAAGTGACAACGTCAACAAACCGATCCGCACTCGCGCACCGTCGTCATCTACGCTGCTAACCTTTTGACGCCCGAGGATCACGCCGGACATCGCGTC